AATAAGATTTTCATTAAAAAAACATCTTGATATTATACTAAATTGATGGATAATACTATTTTTCAAGCTATCTACACTTAAAAAAATTGACTGAACAAGTACATTAGAAATCACAGCAAAAGGACGATAAAAATAGATAAAAAATAAGTGTTTATTCTGTTTCGACAACGAGTTATACCTTGGCAGAAGGCCAATATATGCTTGACATCAATGTATGTCATTCCAAAAGATTACAAATGTTTATTCTCTATTTTTGTTTAGAACTAAAAAGAAGGTATAAACGCCAATTCAGTTGTGTAATCAACATTTCACCATAAAGAAAAGCCGATCAATTTTTATTCAAGACGATCACTAATGGTAAACACGAATTCACAGATTCATGAAAAAAAGTTGTTTTTGTGAAGCTTAGCAGTCATAAACTGAAGGTGCGATGAATGAGATGTTTAGAAATAAGTAGGTTTTAGCATTTCTTTTTAGTGAAACATACCTCATTTTATCATATTATTTTTCCCTTAATTTCCTAGTGGAACATAGGGCTTCAGTAATACATATCCATTTCACTCTCTTCTCTCCAGTCTTTTCAACCTGGCTCCACAACTGCCCACAAGCTTTCATTTCTTCCTCACATGATCTCCTCCATGTTACTCTCAGCTGGGACGCCCAACTCATCGTTTCTCATTTCGGTTCCACTCGATGGCCTGGCCTGGCGCGTGATGTCCCAAACCAGTCTTCTCAGTGCATGCCCGATCCAATCCATCTCCAATTTTTTTTTTCATATTTGTGTGTAATAGGTTCTTGGTTGGTTCATTCCCAGAGTTCCTTATTGCTTGTTCTTTCTGGCCAACTGATCTTCATTATCAAACCAGCGTTTGCAGCTGTTCATGAATGTCTGTAGTTCATTGGAAATGCTTTTCATGACGTGCCAAGTTTCTGAACCACATAGCAGCACTGACTTGACATTGGTGTTGAAAGTCCGGATCTTGTTCATTGTGCTGAATTCAGTAGATCTCCACACTGATTTCACACTAATGAACACCTGTCCTGCTGTGTTTCCGATCCTGGCTTTGACATCCTCGTCTGAGCTGCCTGTAGTTGAAACTATGCTGTCCTGTCTAGGAAGGTAGGTGAAACAGGCTACTTCCTTCAGGTTTCTCACGTTGATGGTGATTGGTGCTTGTTGTTGTTGTTGTTAGTGGTGATGGTGTTGTTGGTTGGGTATCTTCATCACCTCCATCTTATCTACATTCACCTGAAGGGAGTCCCACATTCGCTGCCTCCCCACACATCTTCTGCCAACTTGTTGGTTTCCGCCTGTAAATCTTCGAGTTTGTGCGTCATTAGACATAAATCGTCCGCGCACCTCTTTCCAAGTAACTATTAATTTTATTCCACTTTCTGATCGCCTGGTTAACTAGTTTACTAGTTACTAGCCGGTCCTAAGCCCGGGTAAAGAGGGAAGGTTGGGCATAGGGCTAGCAACCCTACCCCGTAAAACAAATCTAACCGCTAAAGAAACTTCAAAGCACAAACAAAATATAAAAAATGAAAACAAACTTATTCCCCGCTGGAATCGGAGAGGCGAAATGACGCCAGTTGGTGAAAGCCTTCGGGAAGCCAATTGGCCGATGTGTCTTCTCTCGATGAAAGCGAAAGTAAACGTGGGGACATGGAATGTCCGCACGATGTTTGAACCCAGTAAGGCAGCCCAGATTGCAAGGGAGATGAGAAGGTATAACATCGAAGTGCTTGGGATTTGCGAAAGCAGATGGAATGGGAGTGGACTCTCCAAACTGTCAACTGGAGAATCAATAATCTACTCCGGTCACCCAGACGCCAACCACGAGCACACTGAGGGAGTGGCTATCATGATGTCCTCAAGAGCATCGAAGGCTCTCATGCAGTGGGAACCAATCTCCTCCAGGATCATGACAGCAAGATTCAACTCAAAAGGAAGAAAGGTCACAATCATACAATGTTATGCACCTACAAATAATGCAGAGCAAGAGAAAAAGGAGGATTTCTACAGACAACTTCAATCAACACTGGACAAGACGTCAGTTGGCGATATCAAAATTCTGATGGGCGACATGAATGCCAAACTGGGAGGGGACAACACGGGAAGAGAACTAACCATGGGTCGAGAGGCACTAGGTGAAATGAATGAGAATGGAGAATTGTTTGCAGAATTCTGCGCATTCAACGATTTGGTGATTGGAGGCAGTGTGTTCAGGCACAAAGATATCCACAAAGCGACATGGATTTCACCAGATGGACACACTAAAAATCAAATCGACTTTATCTCAATCTCAAGAAAATGGAGACGCAGTCTACTTAACACGAGGTCAAGAAGAGGAGCAGATGTAGGTTCAGACCACTACCTAGTGCAAGGAACCTTCCAAATCAAGTTAAAAGCCTTCAAGGAAGCTGGTGATAGACCTCAATTCAAGTACAACACTCGGAAACTGAAGGATGAAACTACAAAGGAGATCTTCAAGGCAGCCATCAAGACAAAATGGGAGACATCGAGCAACATCCCTGAAGAAACCTGTGTGGAAGAACATTGGAAGTCTTTGAAAGCTATGTGGAAAGAAACCTGCACAACAGTATTAGGAAGGAAGAAGGTGGAAGACAAGGAATGGATCTCGACGGATACCTGGAAGCTGATAGAGGAGAGGAGGATGGTGAAGCGGAAGATAAACCAGTGCAAGGATGCTCAACGACAAGAGGAACTGAGCACAATGTATAAAACACTGGACAAAGAAGTGAAGAAGAGTGCACGCAACGACAAAAGACACTTCTACGAAACACTGGCAAGTGAAGCAGAACAGGCTGCAGGTAAGAGAGACCTGACGACATTGTATCAAATAACCAGGTTGCTGTCAGGGAAGAGACCAACACAGATGAAACCAATAAAAGATGAAGAAGGAAATTTAATTACAAAAGAAGAGAAACAGAGGAAACGATGGGCCGACCACTTCAAGAAGCTCTTGAATCGACCACCACCTGCACTTCGTCCAGAAATACCACCTGCAGCCGCTGAACTACAAGTGAACATTAATCCCCCAACGAAAATGGAAGTCCTGAACGCCATAAAGCTACTGAAATGTGGGAAAGCAGCAGGACCAGATGGAATACCGCCAGAAGCACTGAAAACAGATGCAGAGACAACAGCGGCCATGCTCACACCACTATTGCAGAAGGTGTGGAAGGAAGAGAAGGTACCTGACGATTGGAAGAAGGGTTACCTTGTCAAACTGCCGAAGAAGGGAGACCTCAGTGCTTGCAAGAACTGGCGCGGAATCACTCTCCTGTCCACCCCAAGTAAAATATTAAGCCGCATCATCCTGGAGAGGCTAAGGGATGCACTGGATTCAAAACTACGACCGGAACAGGCAGGCTTCAGGAAGTACAAATCATGTGCAGACCAAATTGCAACGCTTCGCATCATCATAGAACAGAGCATAGAATGGCAATCACCTCTCCACCTCAACTTCATCGACTTTGAGAAGGCCTTTGACAGCGTCGACCGAGAGGTAATTTGGAAGCTGCTTCATTACTACGGAGTGCCGCAAACCTTTATCCGCCTCATTCAACAACTATATGAAGATGCCACATGCCAAGTAATCCACAATGGGAAGCTCAGTGATGCCTTTGAAGTGAAGACAGGAGTGAAACAAGGTTGCCTACTATCCCCCATGATATTCCTTATTGTGGTGGACTGGATCATGCAGCAAACAGTAGGCAGCGAGAAGAGGGGGATACACTGGACGACGGAAAAGAACCTAGAAGACTTGGATTTCGCCGATGACTTATGCCTAATGTCACATAAACTTGAAGATCTGCAGGCAAAAACTAACAAGTTGATAGAAGAGGCAGCGAAGACGGGACTTCAGGTGAATATAGAGAAGACAGAAGTGATGAAGATACCGCACCACCACCATCAACAACAACAAACTCCAATCACTGTCAACGGGAGAAACTTAAAGGAAGTAACCTCCTTCACTTATCTAGGAAGCACTGTTTCAACTACAGGCGGGACGGACGAGGACGTCAAAGTCAGAATCGGAAAAGCAAGACAGGCATTCATTAGCCTGAAACCAGTGTGGAGATCTTCTGCACTCAGCATGCGGAACAAGATACGGATTTTCAACACCAACGTCAAGTCAGTGCTCTTGTATGGCTCAGAGACTTGGCGCGTCACGAAAGGTATTTCCAATAAACTACAGACATTCATCAACAACTGCTTACGCTCGCTGCTGAAGATCAGATGGCCAGAAAAAATAAGCAACAAGGAACTCTGGGAACGAACCAACCAAGAACCTATCACGCAACAAATATGCAGGAAGAAGTGGAGATGGATTGGCCATGCACTGAGAAGGCCGACTGAGGACATCACGCGTCAGGCCCTCGAGTGGAATCCCCATGGGAAGCGACGAGTTGGACGTCCAAGGGTGACATGGAGGAGGTCGTGCGAGCAGGAAATGAGAGCTTCTGGGCTGTCGTGGGACCAGGTTCAAAAGATCTCAGAGAACAGAGGTCACTGGAGGCGTGCTACTGAAGCCCTATGTTCCACTAGGAACCCAAGGGACTAATAATAATAATAATAATAATTCTGATCGACTAGAACGAAAATATCAATTTTTCAACTGATTGCAAATTTCACACTATTCTAGTCTAATGAAAAATGAAGTTTGTAGCAATACACTGTAGAGTGTCATCATAGTAGTTAACCAAGACATGTCTAACAGAATAGAACTTACATCCTAGTTCCAACTATTCTCCCAAAATTAGACAATTATATGACTAGTTGTCCAACTTGTAACCAATATTTCTACAACAGTGGGTCTACCTTTCAGAATGTGTAAATCCATATCATACAGAGTGCATTCCTAACTGAGTGCATCATTCATCTGACTTCCTAAAGTTTAAATATATTTTGTACGACGTTTTGAAAACTATCTTATTTCAACATTTCCTGCATTTTCATATTATATGGTTACCTGTTGTAGAAGTTCTTAACACTCTTCCGTCATTGTGTGTTCTCCAAACGCTGGGATAGTCTACAAGTCAAACACTTTCGAGGGGATTTAAATGTTTCAATGACATTTTTAATATAGATAGATGAAGTAAGAAAATATTTGCAACAAAAATGATATGCAACTATACAGTGTGAAAAATCATCCTGAATAATATTTAGAGAATTGTCAACATTATGCGCAAAAATTATCGACTTAATATTATTACCTAGCAGAATTATTGTCTGTTTTCATTATAATCGAAGAAATGTAAGCAGTGAGTTGACGTTTTAGACTTTTCAATACTGTCTCCATGTAGGTGCTGTTAGCGGTACTTTTTTAACGGACAAAATCAGCTAAATAACCTTAATACACCAATTGTTACAAAGCATTATTATTCGCCTTATCACCAGTTCATTAAATGTTTTAATTGGATCTTAGAAAATTAATACACGAAATATTTCACGCAAATGAAGAGCTAAGTAAATCGTTAGGTTTAAATATATTTTTTGATGTATAGCAGAATGAGTGTGGGTGAAATCAAGTTAAGGTATCATTAATTTCTGAAGCCTGAACAATTAAAGAAAGTCACCAAAGCTATTTCTATATAGAGTGTTATGTTATATTTCTCATTGCATCAACAGAGAATAGTTTTTAAGTAACTCCTAATTTGTTTGGCAATTAGAATACATTCAAAGTTGACACTAGATATAGGCTATATTTGGACAATTCTCAGGGTAGATCAAGATTATCTGAAACATGTGATGTATAGTACTGATACATCACATGTTTCAGATAATCTTCATCTACCCTGAGAATTGTCCAAATATAGCCTATATCTAGTGTCAACTTTGAATGTATTCTATATGAAAAGAATAATGAAATACCTGTAACATCTAGAAGACTGTAAAGTGTATTTATGGTTTCATTGTTTTACCTGTACTACATAAGTCGTTTGGTAGTTCGAACAATTCAGCCAAAATGTCAGTAAGCAAGAAGTTGCACTTCTGAAGGTCCTTAACCATTTTATGTGATGATAGTGTTTGTTAAAGAAAATTTTATTATGCAGTCACTGTTCATCATTATTGTTTGTTAAACTATGCAGTCAAAGTATTTAAGTATTTAACGACTGAACTTCAATGTTCAGTATGCTAATAATAATAGACGGTGGATAAAATTGCTTTGTTCATAATGAAAACCTCCTTGAAACAAAAGAACTAATACTACTTCGATGAATGCAAATTCTGCATGCTCAAGTTATTCATCATAGGTGTAAAAGTATTTCTGAGCACTTGCAACAGACGTAAACTTATCGTTGAGGCTATACAGAGTAAATAACCGTCTAAACCGTCTAGCATATACATTTTCTTTATTTTTAATTCAGCCAACTTCTAGAGTACCAATTGAAAACGACCTTTTTGAAATGTGTAGACTTACTGCATGCAATAGATGCTCTCGGGAGATGCCCTGGAGGTGATACTGAGATGTAAAAAATTAATAATTAGCGTTTTATTCACATACAAAAATAGTTAAACTTCACGAAAGTGTATGGGTTATTTGCAGATAAATAGTTTCCTAAAGACTCCTGACCACCATAGACGTTTCTTGCAGTTCTGTAACTGCTACTAGCCGTTTATTCATTATACCACTTCTGAATACAAATTAAGGATTGTATACTTCATTAGAGATCGGATTCGTTTTCACACTCTGGTTAGATATTTCAAAGCCTCACAATTTTAAGTTTTACCATAACCATACACTGGAAAGTAAAATTGTAAAGCTTGTTACTTCACTGTGATTTACAAAACTATGTAGAATTATTTTCATGTTAAAGTGCTCGAACTTAATTAAAATCTTAATACTCTGGACATGAAAGCATATACTATCAGGGAATAAAGATATCTCAGTAAGCTATCACTTTTCACATTGTGATAAATCTACTGGTTATTCGCATTCAAGTCTAATGTAAAAGTAAAAATAAGGTTGAAATGCTACCGGTTTTTATCAAACTATAATTAATATAAGGTACTGCAAGTTGCTGGTGGGATGCTTGGATAATCAAGAACGGACTTTGAATGACAAGGTTGTGATATGAACAAACCTTCAAAACTACATAAGACTTCCCTTTGTCAGTTTTATCAAGCGTATACTTTCTGGCAAGCTGACTGCTCGGGATCCTTTATTGTGGGCTGATTGTCATTACATATTTGATGAACCTAAATGTCATCTTATTGTCATCGTTAATGTTCTTTGTATGTTGTTCAAAATTTAACTTTCTTTAACTGGACAACTGGTAAACTCTACTATAAGGCCTTACTTTCAATAGGAGTACATTGAATTCCTGTGTATGTTGGAATCTAGTATTCAACATGCATTAACTTTGATTTACAATGCAATGTATAAAATCCCCGACGGTCATTTGACTATCACGTGAAATAGGTTGTTTGTTATCATGAAGTTTCTTTAAAAACCGTGATTAGATTTTGAGTTTCGATCTCAGAACTCACTTAGAGTTGAGTTTTGTCATTTAGAGTTTCCTGTTCCCTAATCCAGACATGATACTTTAATTTCCTGGGTTGTTTATTAGTGATCGAAAAAACGGTTGAAGAAGTGCTAGAAAATAGTCATGGTCGTTTGAGATTTCAGGACTGAGAAACGTGATAAGATTTAGAATAGTTCACCATACCAATGGGAGTTACCTAGAGGAAACTTAAAGTTTCAATACACACTGCAACAATCACATAGTATGATAGAAATGAGTAGAAGTGTTCCAAATTTTCACTTGACCAGTTTGAAAAATCCTAAACAAACTGAGAGTAATTTAACATTTATCCCAGGTATTCGAAAGATTTCCCTGTCATAAAAACTGGAGGTAACTTTAGCAGTGTAATTTCTGTAAATTCCATGACTACTCATTTATGATCGGGAAGAATAAATAATATCCAACATTTTGTTGACTAATACTAAATCCCTGTATGTAGCGTCAAATAAGTGAAGTTACGTAATATCATACTTATTGAGCCCATCACATATAACCACCATTTTCACAAAGCCGCGCATAACTCGTAGTTTCAGTGAGTGGTAATTTCTAAGCATTTGCATAGAAGCTCATATGCCAACATAGAATGATTAGTTCGACTTTTGATGATAATGAATAAAAAAGTACAAACATCAATAAATAACACATAGTTTAATGGTTTAGTGCGTTATTATGCTGATAGACAGTTGCAAAGCCTAAGGATGTAATACAGGCCACAGTGAATGAACAGTTTTATGAGTGTGATTAGGGTTTAAAATTTATTTCTCTGTATCTTCAGTAGAGAATTTTCCAACCGTTTCATTCGCTGCTTAAAAGTCTGTGAAAATGAGGTTATAGAAAACAGTTTATTGTATAATTCGAATTTTCTTTCTTTTTATTCGTCACTGAGTGATACAGTCATTAAAGTAATATTTTTTTTTATCCTTTAGCTGAAGTAGTACGTCGAAATTTCACACTATACATACAGGTCTAAAGGAAACCCAGTTGAATATATGATTTATTGTTGGCAAATGAACACTTCTACTAGACGATGCTTTCTTTCTTTTGAAAAAGCCATCGGATATGCAATGACCAATCAGTTAGGAAAATTGTTTATTATCATTAACAATGCAATGTGATTGAATTTTAAATGTATTGCAAGTATTAACCTGCAGTTTACTGGTTTCTTTTCAGTTAAAAGAAACTGATGAAGAAATACTTCCAATATGTCTATGCAAAAAATCAACTTCTCAAGTACAATGCATAGAATGCTGTCAATGTAACCAAGGTTTCAAGTGAAATAGGTCTGAATATTAAGGTGGTTATAAAATGCATATGCTTTGTCAACAATGTACAACGGAGTTGAAGACTGAAGTTAATTGAGGATCTACTTTAAAGCAGGACTCAAGCCAACATATCCTAGTGTCCTATCAATTAAAATACGTAACTGAACTTCTGAGTAGGTCTGTGTTTCCTTCAGTTCAGACAGTTTTCTTCCAGTTATCTCAAACTATCGCAGATGGTCTAAACAATTAATATAGGTGTAAAACTTGGGCACTGTGGTAGAACTTAATTTCATATTAGGTTTATTTAGTTATTTTATAACACACAGTGATCTAGTATAATTTACTTGATGACGTTCCGAGCATAAATTATCATTACTCATAATCATATCAATGTAATCACACAACTTTCAACATTTGATTTTTATAGTTACTACCAATAAGAATAAACAATATGAGGTGATGTAACTATAAAAATCAAATGTTGAAAGTAGAGTGATTATATTGACATGATTATAAGTAATGATAATTTATGCTCGGAACGTCATCAAGTAAATAATACTATGTTACTGTGTGTTATAAAACAAATAAATAAATCTAATATGGTCTAAACAACTTGGTTATTAGTTGGTTATTTTTATTTCTACTTTGTTTATAAGTACAAACGCAGTCCTTATTGTTTGCGAAATGTTTTTTTTCTTCCTGTCACATTATCTAAAATGAAAACTGAAGAGTTATTAACTTTTCTCTTCAAGTCAATGTCACAGTGAGTCAGAATATCTTGGAAACAGTAGATGAGAAAAAACAGTCTTCATTAACACATCATGGTAACTTTTGTGTATATTCGAATGCTAAAAATATTCTTCAAATGAATTACATTGACAAACGTCATGTAACTCAAATAACTTACCGTCAGTTGAGGTCGGTACACTTAAATATGGCGTCGCGCGCGGACTGATTCTTTGTGTTGAGGCTGGAGTGGATAGTGGATTTTTCAGAAAAAAAACATTAACTGCAAAATTACCTGATTTATTGTCATCATCATCAGTATTTCACTTCATTATTACATCGTAACTTGCCTGATAAACTGAAAAGTTAACCTACGATATCAGTCAACTTGAATGCTTGATCAAATATACTTTATTGATAGTTGATACATGACGGTAGAATAGTCTTAATACGTCCGCACAATCAACTAATTCATATTTTTATGGGACGAGCCCAAACTAAATTTAGATATACATAAACTAAACGTCACACATAAAAGACTATATTGTGAGTAAATTATTTCATTGCTCAATTGTAAAGTGAAAACTCTTAAAAGTCTTCAGTAAGCAAAACTGTATTCAACTAACCATTCATACCGACTATCAGTCATATTTATGTTTATCTAAAATTGATGATGTCACTTATGGAAACGATATGACTACCTGTAGTCATGAATATATGGATAAAATACTATAATACCACTATTAGGAATTATCCGTCAAGAAATTTACATTGAGTCTAGAATGCATCTGAATTTTCAGCTGTATTTTGGAGAAAGGAGTCGATGCTATAAAAGTTGTTTTAGGATGCGGTATGGTTTGTGATGGTTCCTTTTCATAAGTGTAGTACACCAACATTGTTTGACATTTGAGGAAAACAAGACTTGACTTCACACTTGATAGTAAACTTTTCAGTCCTAACTGAATGAATACACATTAGGTCAGCTATATTACGACAAGCCTTATTTAAGTAGACTATGTTTACAGATAGGCAAAAAGGTTTAGTCAAAAAAATGGTTCATTTAGTCCAGTGTTACTAGTTATTTATAAAGTTTGTAAAGTTCAACCACAAAGTTATCATTTCTGCTTGTTGCTTTCTTGAAAGTCATTCACCACAAAGGTGAACAATTCCAATAAACAATCTCATGAAAAGTTTCGGCCTCTCAAAATACACTAGATTTTGAAAGAAGCGTCGTTGGACAATATATCCTTCGAAGTCATTCTTACAGATGTTAATCTGATGCTGAAAAACTCATGTGACTGAATTCTACATATCCTTAAAATTTAAAACGAATTTATTGTAGTAACTATGAATAAATAAAATCTGTGTAGTGGAATACCACTTGTCATCCAATCCCTAAACGTTTTGTGAAACGAGATAAATTTGAGATATAAACTATATTAAAAGTCTCAATTTGTTGTTTCATGTTGACTGTTCACATATATTTCATTGTGAACTCTTACGCGTTCTGAAATGACAGAGGACTAAAAGTTGTTTAGCTTCGTCCTTTACGAAGAAACCTTTGCCTTAGATACAAGAACTTCATTTTATCACTTTACAGGTTTAAATTGCCGTGTGTGTGTGCTGAAGATTTGACATCATTATTGTACCCTAGTTAGCTTGTCATACACAAGATTGAATGGTTATTAAGTCCTCCCATTCAATAAATAAAACTTTAGTCGACATCAATAATACAAAATAACTTATATGACTTACTCGCTCTCTCTAGATGTGTCAGAATAATACAAACAATTTCTTGGAGCTCTCCTGTTTTGATAGAAATTAGCTCCACTTTATATGGATCATTAAGTTAATGCAGTGTCGTAATCTAAAATCTGCACAATTCGATCAACTTTAGTCAATCTTTGAAAAGTATGATTGTTGTTGCACAGGTTAAGTCAAGGTTTCCCTGGTTCATAAAGTGTAAGGAATTATGCTAGACAAAGTATATTTTTTTTATGCGTTTGTTTACGCTGCAAACCAAAAAGAAACTTTTACAGTTATCCACAATCCTTTCTATAGTTCTTATTCCTTTGTTGAACGAACGTCATAGGTACAATGTGCATACATCATCCTTTTAGCATAACTCTCAGCTTATATTTATTTCCAGTCGGACAGTAAATAGAAGTAGTATGTCATCCTTTGTAGTGAATGAGTCTACTTGTACAGCAAAAGAAAAGATTTTTGGTGATATACACTGGGAAGAAAATAATATTCACTGACCTACAACAGGTCCTGCTGGCCCAGCAGCATTTTGAACTGAATATCTTCTCTTTTCGGAGGATAAAGCTGTAATATGAAACAATGATGAATGAATAACAAAATTTGAAAGCTTAAACATAGATTAGATATACAACGTTTTATCTTATAGAGTTCAATAGGATGGATTCACCTTCAATTAGACAATATCCATATTATTTTGTATATTGATTTGAAAAAAACTGGCCTCAGTGTGATACAGAAGTAATGCATAGTTATGATAAAAAGTGTTTGACAAGGCTTACATTTAATATCCTTTAGAGATAGTTTATTTTTGCGAAAAAGTCTTAATCTTGAGTCAGACATTTGAGATAGATTAGCTTATAGGAGACAGAGAAAGTCTGTCACTATTCTTATTACAGCAGAGGTAATTTAAGTAAACTGTCTGCAACTGATTGGCCAATAGATTTGATTTAATATTATAGACACCAAAATACTAAGAGAAGTTTGGTAGACATGGCATACATGTTAAAAAGGCTTTTCAAAATGCTTGACTAAAATAAGAAACATTGAAGCAAACATTTCACAAATTGCAGTAATTTAGAGTAGACTGTAACGATATTCAAGAATTATTGTGTGAGTAAAACAAAAGTTTGATTTGAAGACTATTTTGAAGAGTTTATAGCTAACTTTTCGCCGATTAAAGTGATGATAGGCTTAAAGTGGAAACATCTTTTGAGAAGTTGAATAAACCGTTTTCACTCCCATAGTTAGTGAGTTCAGTAACCTTTTCTTTTTAACTTAATACCCAATATTTTTGTTTTTTAAGCTGGAACCTCTGTTTGCAACGGGTAGCATTTTTGGTTGTATACATGTAGGAAGACGCATTCAACGATTTGCCCGTATGTGCTTTGTCAAAAAAATTTATGATCTATCTCTCAACCAGCTGTCTAGTAATATGTAAAACGAGGATCCGGGGTGGAAGATTTGTAATAACTTTTCTAGTACCTTTTCAGCTTAAATAAAAGGTTTGACTTATTAATTGAACTGGTCACCAGTAGGTAACAGATGTATCTGTCCAGTCTTCAGAGCTTAGCATTGGCATAAGTCGATCCACCAAGCTTTGATTATCAAGCAGCCTACATTCGAAGTTTGATCAACAGCTGTATTGGTTTAATACCTTTTGAAACGCTTCATTTTTAAAAATACAGGCAAGTGCTGTAATTGTAATATGAATTCATCGAGATTTACGATGTATGTGGAGGAGGAAAAAATGCATGAACAATTAACGTTAGATACTGAACCAGGTCTTGGCTATTTCTAATTTGGATTATTTGACAGGATTAGATCCCTTATTTTTCATGAGTAAATATTAAAATCCGCATTTTTATCTACTGTTAATTAATTGACTTAGTTATATTGCTCATTGAAGTCAGAGGGCAAATTGATCATTTGGTAGTCACCTTTATGTAAATGTAGATTTATTTGTTTAGTGAGAGTCAAGTGTTTCACATCTAGTACTTATATCATCAGAACTTTGATGAGTTGAACATCCTTCGAGGTAGTATATAACTGCCAAACTTTTCATTCAGTATATATCGTGGACTTTTTTTCACACTTCTGTTCGACATAATCTAGATTCATGCAATCAGAAAAGGAAGTTAGAGAGTTTAATGTGGGTAGTCTCTTGGGTATGCATATTATATCCAGAAGAGTTTTGTATTAATACATTTTTGTAAGGCTTGAACGTAAAAGTCACTTTGAATAATGTTTGCAGTAAACATTTTTAAGTGCATGACACAGCAACAGTTCGTGTATTAGTGAGGTAGCTTTAATAGTTCTTAGATATCTGTAAATGAGTGTTATCTGTAGAAAATCACCACCTTTACAGCTGCATAATGTTAAGAAAGATCTTTGTGATTTATTCCTTTTGAAAATTTTTACACAAATATCCACCAATAGTAAATCATAGAAATCGGTGCATGTTAATGAAAACGTGGTTTGTGTACCATTGAATGGTACAAATAGAAAAGCCCCAGGTCTCTGTTCAACTGACAGCTACTCAGGATGTTTGATGATACCGATATTCATGAGATTCGTACCAAAATATCAATGTAAATAATTATGAGGCTTTTGTAATAACAGAAGTACTTGGCTGGGCGATGACAATAAATGAACAACCAGACATCATTCAACCCCACGACAGCCGGGTCTCTTGGTCCAGGTTGTAGAGCTTCGAACTAGTAATGCGGAGGCCATTTGTTCGAATCCTGCTACAACATAGGTTTTTGTTCGGCTTTTAGTCACACCCCCCCTGTATCGATATTACCAGTTCGCTAAACCGCGCCTACTTCAGATAGCCACCCTAACAAAATTCAGTATTTTAGGAAATTCAATTCGAAGTAACAAAAGGCATTAAATTGTTGAGATAGAGGATATTTCGTTGAGACATGCGTATGTGACCTGTGATTCAGAAGTGTTCGTCTTGTACAATGTTAAGGTATGAACATGGAAGGCTGAAATAGGGGAAATAAAAGTTACACTTCTGGTATATGTCACAAGAAGTTGACGATCAAAGTAAGTTTGGATTTCAGTTTACTTGTCTTAGCAGAAAACTCTGCAAACTCCTGTGTGCATTCACTTTGGGTTACAAGGGGAGTCAGTCAGTCGGTGAACATCAAAATGCAAAATACCATTACTGCACGATGACTGAAGTTGACACACCGTATATCACGTCAAATAAGAATTCGCTAAGATGAACACTGAAGAAATAAGGATTAAAGTAATGTAAAGTGGTGAAAGGATGTGAGGAGAGAACAGGATAGAATAAAACAGGAATGCAATTCAGCATGATGATTAGGGTGGATATAGTTTGTAGATGCATCTGCAAAAATGAGACCAATCACGAACCTTTTCATCTAGAGTTTCTTTTTGCGGATTTTGGTTATCCTATGAACTTCGATCGGATAGTTTACAATTCCATACTACCGAAAAATAAACTATTCAGGGAATGATGCCATGCTTCAGTCTGGCCATTCCTTTTTAAATCCTAAATCAGCTTGATCTAAGATTTTGCAGTGGCACAGGTGGTGAAGAGAAGTGAGTATTATATGTCCCACCTATCTGAGTCGATGAAGGTTCACAATCTCATCAAATAACCAACCTCTCTCAACCTAAAACGATACATCTGACCTCTGCACTACTGACTTGGCTGTATTTAACAAGACCTGTGCTAATAAGGGAACCAGGGTTACGAACCTTAAAATTTATCATTCCTTATACCTTCAATGGTCATGTTTCATAACCACCACATATTATAACACAGCGAACCGCAGACCAATACACTCAGCTTTTAATAGAAAATAAGATACTACATTGGTGCAACAAATCAGGTTGGAAATGGGCGAATTCCTCTGTAACTGAATTGAAAATAGTTTTCAAAAGTCCTTAAAATGTTTCACTTTCAGTTTTCCAGGTGGCTTGAACACGCATTGCACATGCTGAGGTACCGCCTTCCTTGAAGTGAGATGCTATTCAAAATAAGATTTGATTCACCTGTTATCTGAACATCGTTTGGAGGTGTAGAGTATAATGCTAGATTTCTGGAGACAAGTTATATCCATAATGTTCACAGATCCAAAGTCTTTTCTCATTCTAAGTGGAATTTTAAAAATACTGAATATGACTGATCTATTGTTACAAAAATCTCTTTCTTATCTGCATAGACATTTTGAAGCAAATCTTTTGGATATCTGACAATTAAACAGAATTCTGAAGTTGTTCCATTTAGATCATCCAACACTAGAATAATCGTCTTTTGTTTGACATTTATAGAATTTTCTTATATAGTTAATTTTGGATGGTTATTTTTGGAAATTTGAAGTGAAAATCAATCGATAGTACATTCTTTGTTCATTAGCATGTTTTACGAAAAATGATAAAAGCATATCTTTATCTAATTGGAACAAGATTGAAAAACGATTAATGCACCATAAATTTTCAAGAATAGATACCATAATTCATAGCATAAATGAGTTTATTGTTGATAGTTAGGGGAAATACATTTTCTCTCTTTCACATGTCACCGGGTTAGGTTATCTGAACCACGAGTTACGATTTATGTATGAGTTTAAGATGACAGTAAAAGTTAACATTTTTTGTTACAATAATTTGTTTTACTTTCTGTGTTTATAACAAACACATATTTATTTTAGTGGCAAAATGTAATCAAATAAAAAACCAAAACGAACCTGTGTCTTTCAGTACAGCTGTACAGGAGAACATGCATAAAATGACGATGAAAAAGAAAAGGAATATCATAATTAGTTTTTCATTAATTAAGAAGTGAATCAATTAAATTTTAGAAAACAATCAAGATAAAACAACTTGAGAGCAGACAAAAAAGGTTAATTTTAATAGGAGATAAATGCACATGAAACGAAATGAAATACAACTTCACCCAAAGCTAACAAAGATTAGTTAGGTAGTGAGGAAAGGACTAGTCAACAAAGCTTTGAACAAGCAGGCAGTTGTGAATACTGAATGCTACTCATGTGAAGAAGTTATGACGGACTGACTAACAAAATTAACATAGAACCACTAGATATCGTCAATTTTGATGACAACTCTCCATTAGAACTTAGGCAGCTGCGTGATTTCGAGTGAAGCGCTTTGATAAGCATTACACATTTGTTGGCTACTTCATTCACGGTCAGACACTGCCATAACACACGGTCGACAGAGTCAAGTACCATCTTCGGGTCAATAAGTATGACACGTGTAGACCTCCAGTTGGTATGCCTGTGTTCTGTATTCTGTGAAAAAGTGAAGGTGAGTTATAAGAACTCTCATCCTGGTGTCAAACCCACCTATTTCTCTAGTTTGCTGTTCTCAAGCTCACTAAGGTGTCAG